TCTCTCTCTCTCTCTCTCTCTCTCTCTCTCTCTCTCTCTCTCTCTCTCTCTCTCTCTTTCTCTCTCCCTCCCTCTTTTACCTCTACATAACCATGGCGTAACCGTTACATGCAAGAAAGACAATCAGTTATTTAGAAAAAACCGCGATCGTGCGTGAAAACCGTGATCGATTGTAGTCGGCGACCGTTAAAAATTGAATTACTACGTATTTTAATCGGATCTGGCTATCGATTAGTCACGATCATAGATCAGTAACCGCCTACATAGTCTGGTCGGACTATAAATACGACGCTAACAACTTTCAAGCCGCTTCTCTTAATTCACCTTCTGTAATTTATGTCGTAGGTCCCGATAATATCTGCAATAGTTGCGATGATATAGTGTTAATAACGGCGAGGCAATAATTCCACTCCGGTTTTTAGTGGATTATTCAATTGTTATCGTTTGTTAAGTCCTGTTGTCTCGCTACAACGCAAAAAAGTGGGCAAATATATTGTAATTAAAATACAGTCGTGTAAAATAATTCAGACATTGTTATGTGACGCGATCAATACAAATTGGTTAGTATAATATATTTGAGTCATGGAGATATAAATATATACATAACCAAATATATACAAAAAAAATTTAGTCTGCCGCATTTTAAGGAACGAACGCATCGCAAGGTTATCATTGATTTAATTACTTCCTACCGAGCACTTTTAGGACCGGATACGTTTAATATCCTTCTTTTATCTTTTATCATCCATTAATTTTTTCTAGCAATTATTCAGACGACTGCGTGAATAATTACTCTGTATTCGCTCGGTTTACGGCGATAAATGGTCTGTCCGATCGTTATCGCACTTTGATTAACATTTGATTAACCGCTTATTATTCAATTACGAGAAAATATTTCGTTACGCTCAATTGAGTCTTCATATGCAGGTATAATAAAACACGCGTGACTCAACGGCCTGCTAATGTACGTATGTGATTATGTCTAATCAATTTACTCACGTACCAATTTATAGTCTAACGGAGTATCTATAAATTGACATCGATGGTTATAAATGTGACACTTCGAAGGCTCTAATATAAAACTTTCGAGAGATCAAAGCTCGCTTAAAGCGAACGATGACTATTCAGTTAAACATTTTACTAACTTTCATTGATAGAGTAATTAGACTAATAGAGATTAATAACAGTAGACTAATAGAGTAATGGTTACGTCACTGCGATGTATACTTAATTGCTCGTATTGTCTGTTATGGTGATCGCAAGGGTCAATGAACAGCCACCTCCGAATGTAATTCCAATATAATAAATAACAATTCCACGGACTTCCGGGCAGAGACCCCCCCCCCGTTCGCCGTAAGAAACCGCAGAAACCCGGCAGGAAAGATGATTGGCGACCGGGAGGGAGAAACGAGTTTATCCGGGTGGAGCCCCCCGCTTGCCCCAACTCCCCGCTGTCGAACGCGCGATGGGAATAAAATGTGAAACTGTAAATTGTGCGTGGGAAGAATCGGTCCCTGGGCGGTCGTGGCGGTCGACCATGCTTTTCGTGGGGTGGCTGAAGGTGGAATGGCGAACGGGGACGGAAGGACTGGACGGGAAGCAGCGCGAGAGGATCGGTTCTCGCGCGAGCTGAGCGAGATCTTGGAGGATTTAAATGCGCGCTCGGGTGAGCGAGACTGAGGGTGTATCTCGTAGGGCTGGGGCTGGAAATTTGTTAGGTTACGTCGGACTATCACTCCCCAGTGAATATGAAAAAGGAATTCCTCGCGAAGCTTTCGAGGGTCGACGCGGCTAGGGCTGGTGGCGGTGATGGTGATGGTGTTGCTGCTGCTGCTACCACCGCCGCCACCGCCGTTGCTGGTGGTGGTGGAGCTCCTCCCGACACCCTTTGCCCCCGTGACGGAACGACTCGGTGTGAGGGTTGAGGTGATGGTTGTACGAAGAAACCGGCGACCGAAGGGTAGGAGGGATGTAACACGGTGCCAGGAATATAAAGCGGGGGATAAAGGAGATGGCGGTCACATATGCGACTCGTAAAAGCTCTTCTGAAAAGCTGCATCCGTCCCGCCACCGTCCTCCCTCCTCTTTCTCTCTTTTCCCGACGACTCCGTCAGAAGAGGAACCCGGCACCTCCATTCCAACGAAGACGACGATGACGACGATGACGACGTAGCTCTCGCGCTTTCAACGTCATCGTTGATCACAAAAATCTGGAACTTTGGTGTATGATTTAATGTAACGGCGCGGGATGTGTGCTCGCTTACGCGTTATTTTGGCAAATTGCTTCGATTCTTCTCGATGTGGAGCTGATATTATTCTCATGCCTCGCGATTGCCGATGACAGTGAATGCGTGTCGAGTTTAACCACGAAATATTTCATTATTTATTCTGCGCTTGGCAAAGATCTTTGCGAACTCGTGTGCAAGTTAACATTAGTCGAATTAAAGGGATGCAAATTGGCGCATTCGTACGAGATGCCGCGTTCCAACGGAGCGTGATCGTTGCACGGTCACTGCTCGGTCACTGAACACACAGCGACATTGCGTTTCTATGGAAACGTGGCTTACCCCGGTATCTCCCGATATCGGCGAATATTAAGAAATGCCGCTCGAGAGCGGCATTTCCGTACGCTTGCGGACGGAAAATGAGCCATTCGTTTGCCGACCGGAACGAGGTACTGTCTATGCATGGCACGGACGCACCACCATCCAACCGCCCCATAAATAATCGCTCCTCTCTTTTAGCTTCAACCCCCTTCCTCTCTTTTCTCGATCCCAACCCTCCTTTTTCCTTTCATCGCCTTCTCGCCTGTCTCCTCTCCTTGTACCGATGTATATATATTCTAAGATATTTTCTACGAATTTTCTAGAATAAGGAAAATACAAAACTAGAAAGTCAAAGTCATAACATTAATTATAAGGGTAAATATATCATTAGGTTTAAATTAATATTTTTCTTCAAAGCTTTTATTTTTAGGAATATATAGGCAATAAAATTAGTACAAATATTAACTAACGTTTCTGTTGTGGAGCAAAAATCTATTTCATTGTCAAAGCATACGTTAATAATTAAAAAACTGAATAAATCGAAGAGAGATGAGTAACTGTCAACGTATTTTTTTATCAGAAAACTGGTAACAGGCCAATAATTAAAATCCTTCTTGCCAGAAATTTCAAAAAACGTTGGCATGCTCGCTCTGATAATATAGTAAGAGAAACTTTTGGTTCGCGACGTTCGTTGCGAACAAATGTAGCTCGTTTGCCTCTTTCTCTCGTGGCATTCTTTTAACATTACAGACGTAAACGGCGAGTTACAAAACACACCTCGTTTTGAATGCGACTACTTTTTGTGGACGTACTGAACGACGCTTCGAGACAATTCTTGGCGGGTTTGTCGATCGTTTAATCGTCCATTTCCACCTGTCAACCGAGGTCGATGGAAGCACAAAGGCGATCTCTATCCTGAGGAGAAACTCTGGCAAGAAAACGAGGCAACATTCGGCGAAGGGGGGTTGCAGGAACGGGCTCGAGGAAGGAGGATGTGCGGTCAGAACAAGAAGAAGTCTGACATTCGAGGAGTCGACAAAGATTATGAAGCGCATACTGCGGCGAATAAAAATGGTTTCCGCGGCGGGGGAGAAGCGGAAAACAGAGACATTGTTCGTCGCGGGGAGTTGCTGGAGGATGCTTTGTGGGAGAATGGAGAGAAAAGATGGTTGGACTAACGATAAATGTGCTACGGTTAGCGTACAACGTGCAATTTTACACTACGCGATATATCTCATATTAACTCTTTATCGTTCCTCATACGATATATTAAAAATCTTATTATTATATCAGTGTCGTCTGGATACGTAACATGTAGAGATAAAAATCACAACACGCATATAGAAATATTGCGAGACTCTCGATAATAGAACAATGTCTTTAATAATTGGAGCATCTTCATTGTCATTATTTCTCTGCAATAAGAAATTCATTAAAGGCGCGATACCAAGATCAACTGCATACTTATAGTCAGGTATCCTCCAACGAACGGACGTCAAACAAATGGCTGTTAAATTATTGTACCGCGTATCTGGCATCGGCGCGTCACGCACCAGACGTTGCGAGATCGATTATAATTGCAGCTCGCGGATAGGTGCGAATATATCGGGAGATATCAAAAAAACTTTGCGAATATGCGAAATGCAAATGACGTGCAAGGTTCGTGCTGATTGCGGAAAGCAGATAATGGATCCTGCGCAATGCTCGTGAAGTGGAAAGCTTAAAATAATTAATCGTACTTAACGGTAGTGACTCAACGAGATTTAAGCCGGCAAAACACGTTCCGCTTCCTTTGCGCGAGCGTGTCGGATTAAATAAATAATATTTTTTATGGAGCTGGGAATTACCATTTTTTCCAGCAGTAAGTGAGCATTCTGATTGTGTTAAACACGGAATAATATTACCCTTCAGAGCGATAATACCATCGCGGATCTTACACGTTTGCACATAATGTATAAGTCCGATATACGTTGCACAAAACTATACGGCATGGAATTTATCAATATTCGCCTCAGCGTGCTCTCAACGATCTATCTTTTACTTTTATATTTGACAAATCATACAAACGGGATAGTTGCTTGACAAATACAGGCTATATGTTGAATAGCGTAATAAATTAGGATCAGTAAATAGACAGAAGTGTCTCCGATTAATATTTCCAGCAAAGCGTTCCAGCGACCAGTCTGTGGTCTCGTGATGGTCGAAGCAAAACTGCGATTACAGACAAGGGGGTGCGAGACTGAGATCTTGAGTGACGCCAGGACCAGGCAGGGTGGATTTCTTGCCCGATGGACACCTTTTTCTTGCGCCGATTGTGTGTTGCGTGGTCGTCGCGGCACAAATAGCGTATGATTGAGTGAGCGCCGCGAGGGATTTTCCGGCATAGGAATGGCGAAGTGAGTTTCCGAGCGACACGACGAGGGACGGGATGGTAGGAGGAACGTAGACATTTAGCTGTACGGAGAGGGTAAGGCACCCTGTGCAGCCTCGCGGGAATGTAACAGCCCCTAAAACGACACGCCGGCGAAAATACAGTTGTCCCTCTCTTCTTTTTGAAACTTCTGCAAGCCGATGCACAATCGAATTTGTTTATCTCAGGCTTTCTCGCAGTCATACTAGCATCTTGTAGATGAAAATTATTCATTACTTTCGCCAATGTTAACAAATTCACCTTTGCGTTTTTCATCAAGTTGCTCGATCATGCAGCATTAAGTGCATTCGATATAAATGAATAACAATTATTCTTTTCATTTTATTATATATCATTTTTTTAAAAAAGCAGCAGAAAAATAAATATCTTCATTTTGTTATAGCACATTAAGGATCATTGATTTAACACGTTTCCTTTATGATATCTAAATATAATAAAAACTTATGACACGTTTTTTAATAAGCAGGAAACGCTTTATAATACTCGAAAAGCTGTAGACAAAAACAAAAATTAGATAATAGTGTACAGCGGAATTAGTCGGGAAGAGAGGAGAATCCGTGTTTCAAGAGCTGAAATTGCACTATAATGTATAGCATTGCTGTGGCTTTATTCGCTCTTTTCCATTTGAGGTAAACGAAATCATCGATAGTCGCCAGGGTCGATCAAGTAGACGTAACCCCTGAACTCGACTCGACTCCTTCTGTCTCTCTATTTCTCTCTCTTTCGTTCTACGCCATCAGTAGAAACGGAAGGGGAGGGTTTGGCGGTTCCTGGTTTATCCCGACCGGCGTTTCTGCCCGCGTATCGCGGTATCCTATCGTATCGATATGACGGCCCTGAGGGTTGCCCGAAGTAAAATCATTAGTAATACCATTGTGCCGCCCTCCATCCTCAACCGTTCTCGTTCCCGGGGACAACCGCAGCCTGACATGCCCGCGGCCGTTTTTGCAAAATTCGAGCGAAGAGAAGCGAAATGGACTCATCGTTTGATCGTTTTATACGGGGTATAAAAACTTATTGTATATTTTTTAATATGAAAAACAGATATTAACATAATGATATACTTATCATAATATAGTAGCCTTTTAATCCTAGAACCCTAAACATGGGTAAAATTTACCCAGATTAATTTTCCAAATCTAGCACTCCTTAAAAATATGTGTTTTGTTTTTTTATTATCATTTTTTCAGCTTTATTGAATCGTAAAAACATCAATATATTCATATATCTCAATGTTTCTTATACAGATTTAAAAAAAGCGTTGAATTTTGATTATTTTTACGGAAATTATGAGCAAACGAAGATGTGTTGATTAAAATTTACTCCTATTTAGAGTTTATGTGACTCCCTGATATTAGAATTTTAGAGTTAAAAAAATGTATTCAATAATTCGGATCAACTTCTATACGATATTATAAATGTTAAAATCTCTTTTAGTACAAATACATGAGACAGTTTAAAAATAGCCGTATTCATACATCGCGGTTTTGGTGTATTGCATGATGCAAACACGTATAGTGTTTAGTGCAAAATTTGATATAAAGTAAATAAATATCTTGCAAAATTTAATAGTCATAAGCGTCTCAATAATAGTACGTTATCAAAATATACTTACAAAGGACTAACGTAATTCCTGTAATTTAATTCGCAAATTGCAGGAAGAATCTCACGTGTTATAAAGCAGAATAATATCTCGCAAATGACCTGACGATATTTTATATCGATCAAAACAACCACTATCCAACGCTCAATATCGCACGCACGGCCTAAAACGTTTCGAGCGGAAACTTTTCACTTGGTTCCAGTATTTATCGGCTTACTCGTTACGATCACTGTAATCGACATGCAATTAGCTCGAGCAGATTAATACCGCTCGAATACTGGTAATGGGTACTTTGCTGATATGTACAAGTCGGTGTGTATTTCGTGCACAAATACACGCGAATACTTATTATAAAAGAGATACGGGCCGTCCATTGCACAACAGGAAGGAGAAAACGAAAGAAAAGAAGCCAATGTCCATCCGGTACTTCGAAAGCGCATTGTACAAAGCTGATGGTGTATTCGCGGATCTGAATGCATGTGCGATTCGAGTACACGGTACGATAACGTAGCATAAATGATTTCCTTAATTGGCAACGATGATTATGCTCCGGGACGCACAATAGCCTCGTCATAATTACCGAGATCTAATAAAATTAATGAAATTGTAGTATGATGAAATATATAAATATACATCTGAATATACATCTATGTATATATAAATATGTATATATAAATATGTATATATATATGTATATATAAATATACATCTGAAATATCTGAATATACAATTGTTATCTTGTAATATCTGTCAATTACAGCCTTTTTTCCATGCGTCAATTCGCGTATTTCAAGAGAGAATATCTTCTACGTACTTTCGACATGTAAATTCGATCGTTTCACTTTTGCAAATCGCGCGTCATTCTTCGAAAGCCTAAACAATCGGGATTTCGCATAAACGACGCTTCCGAGGACGGCAATCTGGCGTACATTCTGGGTCGTGCTATAGAATATCCTGTAGCGCAGCGCCTCCGCTCGAGACGACGAGAAGATACGACGTCCATTCGATATTTCGCGAAATATAATATAGATACACGTGCACACGATATTCTGTCCGTATACGTACGACGTATCGATACAGTGCGGTAGGTAGAAGAAGGTACGGGGAATATGATGCGCTCTATCCAGATATGTGAACGACGCAGATATAATACAGGTACGTACCTATATGGGATGCCCGAGTCCGGGATTCTGCCGCGGACGTCTGCTTCACGATAAGATACGGCGTAGCTCTCGGCCGAGGTCTCTCCGGTTTTGCAGAAAATTCGCGGACCCCCCTTTATCGGGTTTCCTGATAGCGTTCCTTTTTTCCTTACGGGCCAGAGGGAGGCGGGACGAGCCGGGGAAAAAAGGAAGTTGAAGTCCACGCCGGAGTGGATATCGACATTTGGTTCCGTATAAGCGGCTCGAATCAGATTAGAAGCCCGATCGCTGGACGCCGCCAGCGACTTCGATATAATCAAAACGAATTTTCGACGAGTCTTGATAGTTACGATGTAATAACTGTCGCTAGCATAAGTTGCCTCGGGTATTAGACGTAAGACTGCCGCTGAGAAAAATTGTGTCGGAAAGAATCGGTCTCCGGCTGATCTAGAACGTGCAACGAATAACGCGCCGTTACGTTAGTTATCGACTCTGCAAGCATCTATTCCCTATTATTACGGCACGTTTAAAAATTTATTTAAATTTATCACTTGACTTTAATATTAACACTCTGTGGAAAAGAGGAATCATGAAATAAAATGCGTAGTTAAAATAATTTGTTGAGGATGGGCATTGGAGTTAATTAATATTAATAATTTAGGATTTAAAGGGCTTTGGTCTGATGTGAAAAGTTGATTCACCACGTACGTTACAAATCCGGGAAAATATCGGGCGTTGATACTGTGTTGAAGTCATTGTTATCCTCCCATAAAGTTTTATACCCGCACTAGCAACCGCGACTCGCTCTTATTTACCTTCTTTCTTTCACTTGATTAAAAATTTATTGTTACGATTAAATCGTGAAGACTAATTACCGTTATATCACACGAGATCTCAAAATGTAAATCTCACACAATCATCTTTCTATATTTATATAATATATTTCATCGTTATATGTGTGAGGATTAAGTTAGCCGTAAATTCATTATCTGTGATATCCCCATGACTTTGTCGTCGTACACATTGTGTCCTGCGCTTTTTCCATCAGGGCGCCGAACAAAGCGAGTCGTATAGACTTTTGCGCGGGGCGAACAATGGCGCTGGTGATCAACGGAATTTAAACGTCGCCGTCGAAGGGATTTCGGATTAGACATCGCTTGCATCTTGCGGCGCGTCTGCTGGTCTTTCGAACGCTGAACAAAACAGCAATCAATAAAGACGAAGTTAGGATCCGTACGGCGGATTCCTTCAATCAAATTAGGAACATCAAAGTACCCAGCAAAGCGAAGGAAAAGGACGAGAGGACGGAAAGGTGGACGAGAGGAGAGCTTGTGCAGGGTGGAGGTCGACATTCCTCGAGGGGTGGCAGCCAGGAATTAGCCTCTATCTCCAGAATCCGAGTCCCCGAGACAAAGAGCCATCCCCTTCCAACTTCCTACCCTTCCAAGCCCTGGCTCTCTTCGTCATCTTCCTCAGCTCGTGTAGCCGAGACTCCTTCTGCTTCCTGATACTGGCTCGCTTAAAGAATCATCTTGGGCGTGGTCTCTGAATCGAGTTCCAATAATTCGCCCCCAAAATGCTAAACCACCGTGCGCTATCCCTCGTGAGATAAGACGACACTAACGATTCGTGAATTTCGCCCTTCGTGGTGGGGCAAATTCAACTGGATCGTATCGTAAGAGAAAGTCGTAAATATGCATAAGGCGAAATTACTCAGTTGAAACGATGTTGTTTAGAAATTTCTGATGCGGTACAAATACCCTGGTAATTGTACAAACAAGTAATTTCAATCATTTACCGTACACGGCACTTAACACCGACATCAAGCATAAAATATACAATGCACATTGAAAGGATTGAGGTGATAAGAAAGCGTTTTTAACGGTACTTTGATGACCGATGCCGCGGGAAAACTCGTATATGCATGACATCATTTTTCCGCGACTAGCGCGTATACGATTTCACGTTCCCCGTTAAAAATACTCGCGCACGATGCTATCTCGTAATTGCTCGGCGCGTAGCAATCAGAATGAAAAACTCCCGGTCTGTTTGATGTTACAACACGCATTGCGCACGACCGGTTGATGAGACGCGAGCGAGTCATGCGCGCATCCGTAAAAATTCAGCGAATCGGCATTTTCCGTGCGCTATGTGGCGCGTGTCGTCATTACATATTTATTTATTACAATGCCATGATTTCCCGGGCCCGGTGGAAGCGGGCGAAGATTGTTGTGCAGAAACAACAGCATCAGACGAACACTACTCGCAATGAAATCCATTACGCCTCAGCTGCAAAGTCATACGTAGTAAAAATAGACTAGCAACAATACCAAAACAAATAATAATATAGTAGTAGAAATGGCAATGGCGACAGTAGCAATAATAACAACGATAATTAAAAATATAAGGACATTATAACAGTACTGTGTCTCTATAACGCAATATATGTGCGTGTATAAATTTTTATATATTATGGAAAAATATATAAAAATATATAAAAACATCGGAGATATATATTGGAATATTGGATATTGATTAAATTTATCGGTCGCATGAAAGATCATATGCATATAAGTGCGAGGAAAGAATCGCATGGCGAAAGAAAGTACTTCAGATGTCGCTCTTACGAGTAAACGCCAATGCGCGTCGGAGGAAAGTCTGAAATTTTCGCGAGCAAATCTCCCTCGATCGTCACTCTCGTTCATCCCGCGTCCGACGGATGCGACATTCTTCTCGAGCACATCGCCGTCGTAGATGCTCTCGATCGTACGATCGGAAGTCCCAAAAATTGTGTAAACGACCGCTCCTCTCCGACCGGGCGGAGTGTCGTTCCGCTTAGGGGTGGAAAGATTTGACGCGTAGACAATGGCCGTTGCATCGTCGAGCGGTACGACCAAGAGATGGAGGAGGTGGAGGAAAAGGAGGAAGAGGAGGAGGAAAGGTTGCGAGGGGGTCCTGGTAGCAAAGACGTGGTGGAGTCGGGAAGAGGGAGGAAAAGCCGCGCAAGCGCCCCCAGGAAAGTGGCGGCATAAGCGGCCGCACGGGAGAAACCACCCCGGCGGTGCGACGTAGGGCCGAGATGGAGCTTCAGGATGGAAAAAGAGAGGAAGAGAGAGCGCGGGAGAGAGCGTAAGACGGGGGCAGGTGGGGGGATGTAAATGCCCCCGTGATGTATCGGATCGATGCGGCAGCATCCAGACACCCCCGCCTTACTACGCGACCTAAAAACGTTCTCCAGGGCAGGGATGAGTTACGGCTATCCTTTTCCTTTCGTCGTAATTTCGTGCCGCCGGCTGGTTTATCCGGCTGCTGGAAATTCGGAATCTTCGTCACGCAGCGTCGCTGCAAGACGTGACTATATGGATCAGATATATTGCGAAGCAATTTGGCTCGAATAGATTCTCAGGAGGTTACATTTAAATGAGATCAGAAATTATGCTAGTCATTCAAAATCATATTTCTCTTCATTTCCATTCGCTACTTTTTTCTGTTACAAGACTAGTTTACATTTCCTATTAAATTACATATTATGTCGATTAAAATTTTTTTTATTACTATTTTTAGAGGAGCTCGATACATCAAGTCAGTGTGACAACACGAGGCATAAAAGTTCGATTTCACGACAGAACTCCGTTGCAAATATCTTCGCTTCTTATTAAAAAGCTGTCAACAGCAAGTCGCTGTCGCGATCGATCGATCGGGTGGTAGCACAGCGCGCGAGACTTGTAATAACCGCGTTTAAGCTCGCGATGATACTGCCGGGTATCGTTAGAGAAAGTTCCCGTCGCAGTTTTCGAGATTTCCTCGTTTGCCGAACTTTTTTGCACCGAATCTCGACAACCGCCGGCCCCATCGCCGTGCCGGTAGTACATAGCCGCGCCACATACACACACGGTGGGTGGGTGGTTAGCGCCTGTACGTCCCGAAGCAAGTTTACGGATAGATACATTTTCCGCGAGCCAGAAACGCGGCGGCAGCAGCGGCGACTGGTAAAGCGAAGTTACTCCGAATTGCGGGCGAGGCGACGATGTTCGTGCTTTTACTTGCCGGCAACTTTTCTGCGACCGAAGGGACGGTTCTCTCGCGCGAAAGCCCCTGGAACACCACCGGCTCCATCGGCGGGAACCGACGTATGCTATTAATGAACACGTGTGAGCCACCATCTTGCGCGCCGTCCAGTTTTCACGGTGCTTCCTCAGTGGTCGTTTTAGGTTTATGGTTAGCTCTTTAGCTTACGTTCTACCTGGATTCGACTCTTAATGTGGATATATTACGTTCCGGAAAAGGCATTAGTTGCGAGTCGGCGCTGCGGATATCTTGCAAGCTGTCGGGAATAAATTGTGCAGTCACTGAGAATAAATTAACTGCGATAATTATTTTTCCAAGCAAATTATTTTTATCTCTCGTGGAGTAGTTATTTGAGGAGAAGCATAAATTTGTTTTTCCAGACTTGTTACGAGAAACCTCACGATCGCGAGCGTTGCGTTAGAGAGAAACCTCGAGGAACGCGATTTTATTCGTGGAATACGTGGATTGTCGAGTCCGCGCGGGCTTTCACATCGCGGATCTCAGTCCGCTCGATTATTCATTCTAATGCGCGTTACCAACGTGAAATTAAAAAGTACAAACGTGCCACGTGCGCGTCGTGTGTTTCACCGTCGTGTTCACGGGAGAGAACATCATCCAGCCATCGATCGCGCGCGCGCGCGTTTTCCGATCCCCGCGCGAACAGATCTGCATTTATTGATAACGTTGACGTCGAGCGCAATAAAGCAACGGTAATTGCCGAGTTAAGTTATGACTGCGTCTGCTCATTAGCACTCGGCGATGCGGCTACTTTAATTAGCAAGCCGAAGGAACCCTGCAGCGCGCACGTTCCGTATAAAAGTTCGCCTTAATGGACGACCGCGATAGCATTTAGCAGATGCATTTTCATATGGCCGCCGGCAATGACGTACACTTACATCCGGATGAGAGCCGGATCGCGGCGCAAACGCCGACGGGGGTAAGGATGCGTTGTACGGTAAAAGTGCATACGCTCAAGCGCAGCGCGGCGGGGGAAGAGAAGGCGATTTTTATCAAATCTCGAGGCACACATTATGGCAGACGGGTCTGTCTGTTCGCGGATAATTAGGGGAAAACCCGAGCGCGCGCGGCTACAGAGCCCGTCCGACTGTAGCAGCGTAAAGTGGAAAATAATTGCCGCGGTAAATTTATTAAAAGCCGGTTAAATACGCCATTCATTTCGTTTACTACATTACCAGGCTATCATCGCGCGTATAACGTATAGCGTGTGTTTCGGTCTTTAACGGACCTGACTCTTTAACGAATCCAAGTTCATTCGAATGCTAACTCTCTCAAAGTGTTATATTTTCTCAATATTAGATCATTGTGCGTCAAATAAATATATTACTTCTTTTCTATTATGAGATTTACTCACTAGTAAC